GCCGGCGGTCCCCCCCGGGCCCCCGGGGCAGAGAGGGACCCATGCACCCACCGTGCCCCGGGGCAGAGACAGGTCTGGGTCACCCCACTGCCCAGCGGGAACCGGCACCCTGAGGCAACCACGGCCCGCCCCCGAGGCTGAGAGGCGGAGGCCTGGCGCTGGCCCCGGGCCTGGTGGACTCCGGGTCCAACGGCCCCGCGGCCAGGGCACGCCCCAGGGGCGCTGTCTCTTTAAGTGGACCTCGGTGGGTGGTGGGCGTGTTCCTGCCGCCTCCCCCCACGGGGATGAGTCACCCATGAATCAGTGGGAAGGGAGGATGTTCCCACCAGCCTCTTTCCACATGAAAACCTCGGCCCCACGGCTGGGAGGCAGACTCTGTTTATTTGGGGTTTTTTGACAGTCTCCACCCCAGCCCCCTCCCCGAGCCAAAGTTCTGAAGTCAACAGCCGCGCTCAACCAGATTCAGCTGTTGGCTTCTTCCTTGTTTTCTGTTTGCACAAAAAAGAATAAACTGGGATCAGAAGGCCCTGGAGGTTTCTGCTGGGAGGAACTGGACGTAGAGCAAACCAGTCAAGGCCGGGTGTCCAGCGGCACCTTCTGGGAGAGGAAGGGACACGGCCAGGGCGGAGGGACGAGCCGGCAGGGAGAGACGCCGGGTTTCGGGGTGCCACCTCCGACGGGCCTCCCTGAAGGAGGACCGGGCGGGGCCACGTGGCACTGCTGCTCAGGTTGTGCACTGCACAACCCCAGGACCCTTACTGACAAAGCCTGGTCAGCTTCCCTGAAGCTGCGTGGTGCACAGGCTGCCCGGCTGCATGCGTGAGCCCAGTGCCGTTCCTCCAACGCTAAGGTCACTGCCCCTTGCGTTGCTGTCGCCTGCAGTGAGCAGTCGCCCAGCGGTCAGTTTTGTGAGCTGGGGATGGAGGTGCTGTCAGCGGACGAACACCGTGCCCATCTGTCCGTAGCGCCGCCCGCAGTCTGCAGACCAGATGGCGGCCTCTTGGCAGGGCATTCAAGGACTGGGTGTCCCGGCCCCTACGGCATCTAGAACCTCACGGGCTGCCACCGTTCCCTCCGTCCAGGCTCCGGTTCCCTAAGCACTTGTGCTCCTAAGTGTCACCGTGCCTGTCCTAGGTCGTCTCCCCTGCCACCTCTTCAGTGTCATCCTTCAGGGCCCTGGCCAACAGCGCCTCCTCTGGGCAGCCTGCCTTGACCTACCAGGCTCAGCGACCCATCTCCCCGCTGCGCCCAACGGCACCCTGGACCCCTCCCAAAGCCTGTCCCTGGGGACTGTTCCCGTGGCCTGGCAGCCAGAGTCTGCGCTGGGCCTGGCTCACAGCACTGACCAGGGAGAGAATGACTGGACGACGAGGGAACGAACGAATGATCTCCAGGGACAGCTGAGCAGGCCCGGGGCCACCTGGACCCCCAGAGCCCCCAGCACAGGGGCAGACTCTGGGACCCCGGGAAGGGTCTCCGCGTCTGACGCGCTCCCAGGACAGCTTCCCGTGTGTTCCTTCCCCTGGAAAGCTGGCCTGTCCCCAAAGGACCGTGGCCCCAGCCCGGGGCACAGGCTTCAGATCCCGAGGGCAGACACGGTGTTGGGACCCTCAAGCCCATGGTCCCGTCCATGTTAGCCAGGCAGGGGCAGCGGCCAGGCCGAGGGCAACACCCGGCAGGCGGCCCCCGGCCGGCACGTCAGGCTGGGCCCGCACGTGGTTGACCTCACTGAATTCCTGCCGTGTCCTGCCAGGCCAGAGCCGTTAGTCCATCTCACGGGTGAGGGAACAGGGCTCAGAGAGATCATGGGACGTGCCCCGGGCACACAGCCAGGCCCCTTGCCCTGGCCTGGGCAACCCTCCCGCTCCCCGCTGGTCCTTGGCCAACGGGCCCTGCCATCCAGCTCCTGGGGGCCCAGCCTCGGCCCGCCCTTGGCTCAGGGCCAGCCTGG